CATGGCAACCGCGCGTTATCGATTTTCCGCCGCAGCTGGTAGTGCGGTCTCTCTCTACCGGCCGCGCCACCCCTGTCGCCTCTGTTACAATGTTAACATTTTGAGACGGTTGCACATATTGCATGTCATGCACGTATAACAACAGCCGACAGAGTGTTAATAAATGAAATCGCGGAAAGTTTTACTTTGTCTCGCTTTTACGTATATTTACGAAAGCATATTGTTTTTATATGTACGTATATTATATTTAACGCCTTGCACAAGACTATTTTGGAATTTATTTTCCGAGAATTATTATAATATTTACTATACATATATATTCATTTTTGTTGCAGCCAGAACAGTTGCAGTCAATAGTTCAAGGGGCAATTCTCGCCTCTCAGAGAGGAAGTTGGAGGGGAAGATGAAGAGGAATAGGAAGAGGAAGAGATTACAACAACAGAAGTCGAGGTAGAGGCAGAGGTGGAGACGGAGGCGAAGCAAAAGATGGAATAAAAATATATTATTACTCGAAATAAGTAAAGTGTTTACAGGGTGTTTCGAAGTTTGAGGATAATAAGATTGCAGCATAAAAGTTCGTGAAAAATTTAGTAATGAAAGTTCATGCTATTTAAAAAATAAAGTAGTATTTTAAGTCTATTACTTTATGCACGACACACGGATAGATAACTCTTTAACGCATACGATAGTTATACTTCAAATTTTTGTTATACTTAAAATAACAAGAATTTAAAGTATAACCAAACGTATGCGTTAGTTAAAGGGTTATCTATCCGTGTGTTGTGCGTACAATAGTAGATTTAAAATACTACTTTATTTTTAAAATAGCATGCATTTTCATTACTTCATTTTTCATGAACTTTCGTGCTGCAATCTTATCTTCGAATTTCGAGACACCTTGTATTGTATAAAATATAAAAATAAAAGTATAGACTACAATATATGTATGTATATATTTATATATAAATATATATATGAATATGTAAAAATATTATTAACTGTTCCCAAATTTCTACAATATTTCCTAGTCTACCCGAATTACAAATGTTATGCGTTAAAGCAAGACGGAGACGGATTCTCCAAATCGTTAGTGAGATAAATCCACAACTCGTCGCGTGGTCTGCCATCGTTAGTGAGATAAACCCAGAACAATGAAATTATCGGCTTTGTCAGACTATCCATCTCATCTGAATAGTTCGGACATGAACCATAGTACGGACACGAACCATGTCTCGTTACCGAGCGGAATGGATGTAGTTCACATCCACTTTCTCAGGCGGCGCGTCAAGCGTTGGAAATGTGGGCTTAAATATATGCGAAAGCCCCGGCTGAAGCGCCACAAGCTTCTACTGCCGAAGGCTGGTTTCTCGACAAGGGCGGCAATAATTACTCACTCGTGCGAATATATTATAGACTTTATTCGAGAGCGCCAAGGCACGTCAATATGTTAGTCTTGTACGTGCGCTAGGCGAAGAACGACTGTTACATTATTCTGTCCCGCTCGGACAGCGCCACCAACGACCATGAACAACGTCGTTGTATAGATGGGCAACTACTAGTCGCCACACACTCCCCCCCGAGTGCTAACGCTGGAGAGAAATAATACAATGCTTGGTATCACACTGTGTGTCTATCACAAGTAATCGGCGCTGCCGAATATCACATTGAATATTGCAGGAAACAATATAATACCGCTGCTTAAAACTAGGGTGTATACGCAGGATGTATCACAAAGAATAATGATTGTTATAATACTGCCGCTGCTTATTATAATGCAGGGTGTGGGAACATAGTTAACAATGTACATTGCAATGAACCCGAAATATTATAACATAGGATAAATATTATACCGCTGCTTACTGACTAACGCAGGATGTATAAATAATTGCACTCGGAATACTATAGTACCGCTGCTTAGAGCTAACGCATACGCAGGATGTACGTAAACCGAAGAAAATACGCGACCGTGACCAGAATGAAAATTGATATAATCAAAAATGGAAAACGGAAAATATATACTTTTACGCGCAGTGGAATAACTACCTGTCGAGACTGACTAGCGAGGGGATGTACGTACGGTGTTTTTGTCTAGCCTAATTTGTACCCTTTTTTAAGGACCCGTATACGTTTTTAAGGTACCTGACTGGGCGCTTGACGAAGCGAAAGGCTTGTCCGTAGCGTCGGAAGTGGACGGATCGTTAGCGATCGGAATGTCGTCCGGTATAAAGTGGGCAGGCTTAAGACGTTCTATTGATACGGCCGTGGGTCTGCCGTTGATTTCGATATTGTAGACTTTATCTGATGTTCTTTCAAGCACTTTGAAGGGGCCCGAGTAAGGCCGCTCCAGAGGTTTTTTAACAGCGTCCTTACGGAGGAAGACGTGCGAACATATTGGCAGCTCCTTAAATTGGAAAACGCGCTTTTTGTAATGGTGTGCCACCGGTACTGGCTTCACCTGACGCATGTGCTGTCTAAAATCATCTACAAAAATTTGGGGATCCGGCGTAAAATCCTCCTGGAGGAAAAATTCTCCCGGAATCCGCAATACCGTGCCGTACAAAAATTCGGCCGGAGAGGCTTTTGTGTCCATACGCACGTGAGTGCGTAACCCGAGTAATACTGTAGGGAGGACATCCACCCAGCTCGGCGTGTTGTGGCACATAATCGCCGCCTTGAAGGTGCGGTGCCAACGCTCGACCATGCCATTAGCGGCAGGGTGATAAGCCGTAGTACGAATGCGTTTGCATCCGATCAGTTTGAGAAGGGCTGAGAAGAGCTGCGCTTCAAACTGTTGACCTTGATCGGTCGTAAGAATACTAAGTGCACTGAAACGAGCGACCCAATTATCGAAAAATGCCCTGGCTACTGTTTTGGCAGTAATATCCAAGATTGGAATCGCTTCTGGCCAGCGGGAAAACCGATCAATGATTGTTAAACAATACGTAAAGCCGTTGCTAGGATACAAGGGACCAACTATGTCCATGTGGACGTGGTCGAAACGCCCGTCAGGAGCCGAAAAAATTGAGCAGGCTCAAGTTTGACGTGGCGCGAGGTCTTGCACTGCTGGCAATCGGTACAATTACCCGCCCAAGTCGCGACATCGCGATGCAGGTTAGGCCAGATATATCGCTGTCTTATGACGCGGTCTGTTACTTTTGCGTTTGGCTGCGCGGGGTTATGAAACAGGTCGAAGACCTGTCTTCTAAGAGATGCTGGAATGTAGGGTCTAATCGATTCCCCTGACAGTTCGCAGTATAGCTCTGTGTTGGAAGAACCCCAAACGAATTTTTTTTTTAATTTTAACGAGGACGAGTTTGAGATCAAGAGATGTTTAAGTTCTTCGTCCTCTTTTTGCCTAGCGGCGAGGTCTACTAATTCAAATTCGACCGGGAGGCGGAGAGCCTCGACACGAGATAAATTGTCAGCCACCACGTTCTCAGGACCGGCGAGGTATTCAAACGCGGTGGTGAACTGCGCTATGTACGAGAGCTGACGTAGTTGCCTAGGAGAGGCTTTATACCGGGGAGTGCCCCAGG